TTAGTGTGTGTACACGTGCAGGCATGTTCATTTGTGTGTGGTGGGGTGGAATGGTTTCCTCTTACTCTGTATTCTTATATCTCTTAGAAAATATACTATAGCTATTACTGCTACTACTACTTCTACTATTATTAATATAATTTATTAAGAGCTTACTACATGTTAAGTTCATAGTACTTCTTAAGTCCTATCATGAGGTATGTTCTATTACTCATTTTACAGATGAGGAAACTGAGCCATAAAGAGGTAAAGAAACTTGCAGTAAGGCTACTTAGCTAGTAGGTGGCAGAGCTGGGATCTGAACTCTGCCTATTTAGTTCCAGGATCAAAGTTCCTAATCACGACGCAACATCAACTACTATGAATAAAAGCACAATAAAAGATGGCAAGCATCAAAATTGCTTACAAGATTCTAGGTTGCATAAGCACTCTAAAACACTACAGATCATATTAATAGAATCTGAAGGGATTTTCAGAATTACTTAGTAAAAATAAACAAGAAGCAAAAAAGTAAAACTACATTCTTTAGAGGTTCTTTTAAGTGTGTATACAGAAAATCAGGCATGTAAGGGTGGGGACAGTTGCAAAAGTATATATTTCAGGAGAAGAATTTTGAAGCTAGGGGTTGGAAGGCACAAATTTTAGCCCTGGTGCAATCTAATCTAATCTAATCTAATTAATAGCATAAATTCAGAAAAATTACTTAAATCTTCTAGGTATACCTTCTCTGATCTTCTCAATAGGACTGAAAATAACCGAGAACACAGAAAAGATAGAAATCACCAATTAAAACCAATATGACAAAGACAGTAGTGTTATAACTGGTTGAGTAGGAACGGATGGTTTCTAAATGTCTCCACTACACTTGTGAATGCACTGTTCACGGTGAGTGGCAGGTGACTGATGTTTATGTCATCCTCCCCTTTTACTGCCTATCCCAGCAGCTACTACAGTGCAAAGCATTGCTTGTACTTTTTTCCCTCTCCTCTACTTAACATGGCTTTAATAATTCCTTTCTTCTATCATTTAAGTAATTCCCAAGGTAAAGAACTCACTTACAATTTTTCATATAATGAATTGTATTCCTGAAATCGATCATGTTGTTAACTTGGTATAAAATTATTTTAGAAGTCATATTTATATAACAGAAGACAGACTGATGCTTCATTAAAAGTAGATTTTTAAGTATACTATCTGATGTATGGTGGAATTAAGTTTCCATGTAACTATTGCTCATTATTCAAATTCTCCGAATAAATTTCAAATTATTGGAAACTGGATATATACACATAGCTATAGATATTCTAAATTAGATATTACATTTAAATATACATTAAATACTAGATTCAGAATGACATGCTGCAAAGACAAAATCTCTATGTTACACAAATAGAAATTAGTTGCTCATTGGCATTTTAATTCACAAAGGAAATTTTACTTTGGAGGTAAGTCAGCTCAGCCTTTCTGTATGAAAATTTAGGTCTCAACCTACGGTTACTATAGAGGCAGCCCACCTGCTTCCTATCCTGTTACGAGCTGTAGCTCAAAGCCTAGTTAACAAAGTGTCCCCACTGCAGCTAAAGTACACTGTCAAATCCTCCGAATAAATCGCAGGGAACTGAACACCAGCATCCTCAACACCAAGAAATGTCTATTATACCATGAGCCCCTCCCTTTAGCAGCTGGAGGTATGTGGGAGCCAGGGCAGGGTGGACACATTATTGACATCCACAGTCTGCAAATCTATTCCATTTTAAAGAGAGAATTTTTAACTTTAAAAGGCAGATTTATGTATTACAATATATATCATGAAACTGTTCATGGTATCAACAGAGCAGGCATATTCAGTCCTGTCGATTGGGCAAATTCTTACAGCTGAAGGTATTGGAGCAGACGTTTTTAGGTGAGGCCTTTCTGACAGAGATAAAACCCCAGGTGCCCCAGTGGGGTGGAGTTCTTTACCGTTTGCTGTTGATTTTGTTTGACTGCTCTACTAGTGGCTAAGTGAGCCTTCCAGGTCATGACTTATCCGTTCTATTTTCCAGATCTATTTAAATTAAGCATTTTAAAATTGTATCATTAGTTTTTAAAAGCACAGTGGTTATATGTTTATTAGGTAAAAATTAGCTTAAGCTATATCTGACCTACATTAAAGTATTTTTTTTTTTTTATTTCAGCATATTATGGGGTACAGATGTTTAGGTTACATATGTTGCCCTTCCCCCCCTCCCCCTCTAAGTCCGAGTTTCAAATATGTCCATGCTTCCGGTGGTGCGCATTGCACTCTTTGTGTATGCGCTCGCTCTGTTGCCCAGGCTGGAGTGCAGTGGCGCAATTATAGCTCACAGCAACTTTGAACTCCTAGGCTCAAGAAATCCTTCTGCCTCAGCCTCTTGAGTAGCTGGGACTATAGGTGTGTGCCACCATGCCCCGCTAATTTTTTAATTTTTTTGTAGAGACAGAGTCTTGCTATGTTGCCCAGGTTATTTTCAAACTCTTGGCCTCAAGTGATTCTCTTGCCTCAGCCTCCCAAAGTGCTGCGCTTACAGGTGTGAGCCACCATGCCTGGCCTAGTACAGTCACTACAGCCTT